GCTGTTCTGCTGCCCATCAACATTCCTGGTGGAACTCAGGATTTCAACATGAGCAACACACTGAATAATAAAGGAACAAGCATGTACTTATGGTACCTGAGCAAGTATGCATATTGGAAAACTGTTGTTAGAGGTAGTGCTTAGTCATCCTTATAGCTGTTGAATGTGGTCTGTTAGACAAAGAGTTACTCCACACCATCAGGTTTGGGGATACACTGTGAACATACCTTATCAAAAGAACAATCTGATAAATAATCCTATCTGTCTTTTTAGTGTATATGACTGATACAAATAAAGTAATACTGAATCATGGTAAGGTTGTGGCAGTAATCAGCCATCAGCAAGACATTTAAAAGAAATGGTTTGCACAGGACAGTAATATCTCTTCTATGACTTTGAAGAAAATCATAAACCTGCATTTGCAGTTAGTGCTTTGCGTTCCCTGAATTTATTAGTGATTGTTGGAGTACTAATGGCATTTAAATCCTTTGGGTTTCAAGAGATTAATCTGCTTTATTTTTCATGATTATTGGGTAGGTAGAAATAGAAGCTCCTCTATGGAAGGTTATGGTTGTATTATCAGACTAAATGCCTTGCTGATAAAGTTATTTTATAAGAGCAATTATCTGTATAATTATTTAAATAGAAAACTAAGTACATGCATAAATGTGTTTTATGGTATACTTTAAGAATTGGACCACCACTTTTTTTTTTAAATGGGATACAAAAACTGTGTCTAGGTGGCACAGATGATGCTGTCAAATAAATGTATCAAAGCTCTGAGACCAAAATGCATGTCACTGAAGGTATACGATATGTACCTGCTGAACTTCAGTCACTTCTGATTGAAGATGAGCTATGTCTTTCCATAACTATATGCTTGAATGTAACCACAATATCAAAATCAGTTTGATACCTGACTGCACTTGTGTCTTGCATTCTTCTGGCAATTTATGACTGATTAACAAGTCTGTTTACAGCTGAAGGATAAGTATGTTATGAAGTACTGTTATTTCAGTTCAGATGCAATTATTATTGTCTTGTTTGTTGGTGTAAACACTGAACCTCAAATTATCAAAGAAAACAGGTTTCTAACTCTGAAATTTAATTCATATATCTGGCACTAGTAACAAATATCCTGCTGGTGAATTTTATTTGTTACATCTTTTGCCGTTAAAAAAAATAATAAGTTTAATAAAAAAAAAAAACAACACTTTTTTTTTTTTTTGGGTGGAGGTTGGGGTCTATAAGCAGTTGGGAGGTTTGGTATTTTATTTTAAAGTACATGTTGTTGAGGAGTGTGCTTAAGAAAGTTCAAAAAGAATAATGGGAAAGTGTCATTCAGTCTAAAACTATAATTGTTAAGGAATAAGACAGAAGACGATTTCTTGTAAATTATTTGGTATCTGTTTGGTTCAGTTAAAATATCTGACTATGAAGAACTACTGCGACATTTCACATACTTTCAGTATTTTAAATACTTTCAGTATTTAAAGAAACTTGTCAGTTGCTCTTTACTTCTTTATTAAAATCAGCTTCTTTAACTTAATATTCTTTACGAATAGCATTGATAATAAGGCAATAAAAATTGAAGGTAAATAGTCCTGAAGATTCAGAATCCCCTGTGCCAAAAATTATGATGCAAATTTGACTATGTGATTGAGGAAATGTTGGACTGCAATGAGTAAAAATAATTAACAGTGCCTATAATGGACCCACTGATATGGGTCCGACACATTACTGTAAAGAAATGTAAAAAGTTATTGATATCAACAGGACACTTGAACTGCTTCATGTTAAGCATGTGCTAAGGTTTTTTTGGTCAGTGGGTGAATAAGGTCTCCATCCTATCTTGAAATTCATCACACTTTTTGTGAACTCAATGCACAAAGGCAGATTTCTATAAGTAGTTGTACTGATTTGAACTGAACTACTTGCATGTCTAAGGCAAGTATAATTTATTCACAAAGTTATTAGTTGTTGTGAGGAATGTACTGAAAGAGTGAAGAGATCTTAATAGAGATGAAAAGATGAAGATAAAGTTTTTTTATAAAAAAATAAGGTTGTTCTTTTTATAACTACTTTGAGCAAACTGTCCACTAAAAATAATGAACCACAATGACTAATAGCACATTAAATACTTTTGCTTATTTTTTTCAGTTAGTTAATGAAGACACTTTTTTAATAAGAAACTAGATTGAACTCAAAAACTGTTCTAAATATAATTTTATCTGTTGAATATTAGTTTGCTTTATCTGGAAAAAAAAATAACCAAAGAAATCTCTTCTGTGTTGAAAGATCACATCAGATAACAAGAAATAGATCTATTATTTATGCTATTAACACTGAAATAGTTTTCTTGAGGTGCAATATTTATTTTTCTGCTTTATCAAGACACGTTTATTGTTTTTCCTGCACAGCACAGGTGTTTCTAGTAAAAGGAATTTTAAAAGAGCACTATTTTTGTGTATCATATTTAAATTTGTACTATTGTAAGATTTTGCACAAGTGTGCTGGTATTGTACTGTATAGTATCATACTTGAGTTTTGAAATAAAAGTATGGTTTCAAAGTCCTTAATGTTGCTACTTTAAAGGTTTTTTTACATGCACTCTGTCTGCATATTAATGGCTATCTTCTTATAAAATACATACTGCCTTGTCTATACTGCATAGTGTAGTGCCATGTTACACACACCAAAGATCTTGTTCTTAGTCTTTCAGTTCTTCAGGAAAATTATGTAGACAAAGCAAGCAAACTCCTGTTTCAATAGAGAAAGTGTTTGTAAGCAGGGTCATTCCTATCATACCCTAGAAAGATGAAAGAGGAAACTGAAATATCCTGGAGAGAGTTTAACTCCTGCTTATGAGGGATGCTGTCTTTCACTGAGGAGATTGAACATGGGAAGCCACAAGGGAAATCTGTAACCCAAGAGACTGAATGAAAGGTTAGGATTCTTTGCTTTATCTTCTTGTAGGCTTGAGAGGTCTGGGAAGCCTGGGCTTTGTGGGGAGCTGAACGGCCATACCTGAGGGAAGGAGACAATGCTATCCCCAGAAAGAATAGAAATGTCACTTCAGAATCTTTTCTGTTTAGCAGCCCTCATCAGCATTTTAAAACATGCTCACACGAGATGTTGGGAATTTTCCTTACAGGTTACTCTAAGTATTGAGGTCAATTACAGACTTGTACTGAATGTTTAATTATCTTTTTTCACCATTCAAGTCATGATGAAGACCTACAAACAGGTTAAAGACCTTTTGTACTGCTACAGCCTAGATAGCTGATTCTTCCACAGAGTTTTGGAACAGCTGAAATATAAAAACGGAGAAACTGGCACCAAAAAAAAAAAAAAAAAAACAGTTTGTTTTAGTATCACTTCATCATCCTGAAATTCTTTTCTCCCTCTCCTAATCTGTAGTTTGCTCTTACAAATCCACAGGAAGGAGCTTCTATTTTTGTTTGGTATTATGAAGGTGTTTATCTCATTTTTGCAGCTAAAAAGCCTACTAAACACCAATAGCATGGACAGAATTTGACTAGAGGAACTTTGCAACAGTAAGGATAATAGGCAAAAAAGTGTTAAAACATGGTAAGACCCAGCTTTTGATTTCATGGTAGGAAATACTTAGCAGTTCAAGGTAAGCATGGAAATGGTAAGATTGTTTAATGTTCTCAATATTTTACAGACACCACCTAGTAGTTTATGAGAGCCACAGAATAACTATTAGTTTCTGTTCCTATATTGTAAATGCAAGTGAATCCACTTAGAACTTGCTTCAATGAGTTCAAGTCTGATTACAGTATTTCAGATTGCCATCACTTTGTAGAGGCAGGTAAGTACAACACAATAAAGGAGTGACTAGAAATTGGAGCAAGAAATTTGTCTTAAGACCTCAAGGAGCTTTATCACCAATCAGTTCCAAACTGCAGCCCAAACACAATCCAATTTTCATTTATTATTGCTCAAGGAGACATCATTTCATTAATCTACAGCATTCTCCACTGGTCCCTGTAGATGCCTGTCTAGGTTATTAGTATACCCATAACCATATTATATGCTGCTCTAAGAGATTGGGTATGTGCCCATATAAAAACTGTCTTAATATATGAAGCAGAAACTTTCCACAGTGCAAACCACAGTTTAAAGAGGTAGCTACTGTTACACTTGTGTTCACAGGACCTTGAAAACTGTCTGGGGATATAGGACCTCTAGACTGTATCACAATGTAAGCATGATGTAACAAAATCATCCTGTTGCAAAAAAAAAGGCTCATACCATTCTGAACTGTGTAAGCAAGTAAACTAATTTATTAATCAGTACTTGGCATTGGCAAGGCCTCAGCTAGAGAGAAGGAGTGAGCAAGCTGGGGTTTCTTAGCTGAAAGAAAAGGGGGAGTGGAGGCATAACTATTTATGCCTCTTCACTCACTTTACCTTTTAATAGTAGAGTGAAGCACTGGAATAGAGCGTTTGAGGACACATTAGGAATTTGACGCTGGAAGTCTTTAAAAACAGGTTAAACAAACATCTGTCAGGAATAACATAAATACAGCTGATCCTACTGACAGTAAAGAGAGCTAACTGATCTCTTGAGCTCCATTCCCACTCTTTGTTGGAATCTCTGCAAAAAAAAAAACACCTCTGAGTTTCTTTGCTAAGACTTCCTGAAGGTTTTCCATCACAGCTATAAGGATCGTCTGTATTTTGCATGAGGCTATTGGAATCCCTATTTGTTTCAACTTCACAAAAGGCAGCAGGAACCCCATTTATGGTAGCGTATCTCCAAATCTGTTAAATACTAGATATCATATTATCTCTGTGTTACGGTACCTATTTTTGCATTGGAAGTCTAATGTAAAGGAAGGTAGAAGTACTGCATCATGACGTGTAGGATATGGGGAACGGTTGCCGTTTCAATTCCAAAAGAAAACTCATGGCTGGCATGCTGTGATACAATAGGGAATTTGTTTTATTTACCAGATGAATAGACAACATGAGTAATGAGCTGTTAATCAGTAAAACAGGAAAAAATAGCAAAAAGAAAAGTTCTTTCAAAGTGGTTACTGACTTAGCAGTCTAACAGTCTTATCTCCCTTCCTCAGCTGTGTTTTCTGAGTCAGCAGTAGTTAAATTTTCCAGCAAGCCCTACATGAAAGAAAGTGTAAAGGGTGATTAGGGATTTCCACTAAGTGACCTCACCTTTGAGTGGGATGGTCAACACATTTGCTCTGACATTCTTTTCACAAAGCGTGCGGTGACAGCTAAAGTCATCTCAAAAGTGATCTGACAGCATCAATACCTTAGCTTTTCTTAGCAGATGAGACAAATCACCTTGAATTTCTTAATTTTTTGAGTTGGCGACAATGGCAACTTATTTTGGAGTTACCTCTGCAGTATTTTTCGTCTGGGTTACAACATTCATGGCACAAAATTACTTTATAACAGGTATGTAAACTTCCACTTTTCAGTCTCCTAGTTGAACAGTAAAGTACTTGGAAAAAAAGTAACTAGGTTTGCAGACAAAAATGGTGGGGAAAGAGTGTGTGTAAACTTGTTTCTGGCATAGGAAAGCACAGGGTTTTGAGAATACAGTGCAATGAAAACTACTCTAGCATATAGGGGAACTTTCATTGTTAGTCTGATTTAATTACTGTCTAAATGTTGTAGCATTACGGGATGCTACAGAACTGCTTGTTTTAAAGATTTGGTATTGCATTGAGGATTAAGTTCTGATCTACTGAAATGTGATTTTATTTTGTATTACTTAAAATACAAGAGCAAACAGTTTTGTACAATCCTCAAAGAGCAAAACATGCATGAAACTAATTGTGTGTGTCTCTGCTAAAATGCCATCTTTAAAGCAAAGCGCTTTTCTCCAATTTAGCAACATCCTGATACTGTCTTGACTTGCAAGATTAAAGGAAACATGTGGCAGGGATCTTGCTGTTCATCTCCAGACCAGTCACGCCTGTCTCTGGTTAATACAGTACAAAAGTTCCTATGTTGTCTAAACTATCTGTTTGAAAACATAGGGAATAGCCAACATCAACTTTATCACACAGTTCTTAGACAACCCTCAAACATTATTATATAAACCTTTTTTTTTTTTTTTTCCAATCGGGGCCATATAATACTCCTTTCTTCTATATGTTAGTAAAATTTGAATGTCTTCTCCTTCAGACTTCAGAATTAATGCAATCTATTCTAACTGCAGAGGCTACTAGGGTATCTTCAGATAACTCAGTGTACATCAGATGTTTCCAGATACTTCACTGTAATTTACAAGGAGTAAATGCTTGTTCTACCAGTGTAAAAGGGCATACACCATTGTTGCAGACAACTTATTTTCTGATCTGCTAAAAGGCTTCTGAAGGAAACCTGGACTGAGAGAATTAGATGGTCGAGTCCTATTGCTTCTAGTCTTATCTCCAGGATGGACTTTCTGGATGATCTCTGCATTTGATTCACTGTCTTGCTCTCTCTGGGGCTGCCAGTGAAACCTGCCACTGTCACCACTGTTCAGCTACTATGCGACTATGCCGTGGTCAGTGATGTGTGCACTGTGCTGTGGTCACCTTCAGCTCCTGACTCCTCTTTCCTTGTGGGACAGCCTCATTCTTGCTGCTCCCTGACATCAGCAGCGAAAGGAAAGTCTCTAACAAAGGAGAGTGAAGGCCTGGTGCAAGACAAAAGTGACAGAAACAACAGCTTCCCCCCAAAAAGCAAGAAGAGAAATAATGCACAACAGAGCCAATACCCAGAGCTTACAAAAATTACCTTTCTTCCTGTCCTATGACAACTTTGTCATCTTGTGAGATTCTTTCCACCTTCCTCAGTAAAGCTTATTTTTCACACAAGATCAAAATACTGAGGAGAATGTCCTGTTATTTCTAGGTTAATTAAAAGGAGCAAAGCTTAAAATATATCTGTGTTCAGCCTGTGGACCAAAAAGGATACTATGCTTCTCAAGGATTAGTCTGTCTCTCATACAATCTCATACAACAGAGTTCAGGTGTGATTTAAGAAGAAATACAAAGACTTGAAGAGGCTGTTGTTCTCTTTCTGGACTTTTTTTTCACATTGTAAACCCACCTAGAATTTAGATTGAAATTGGTAAATTTTACAAAACATTTATTTCACTGTTTTGTTTTAAAAAGGCTTAGCAAAGGTCAAGGTCAGTTTTGGTCCATTTCCTATACAGTCTCTTTCCTTAATCTCTTAAGATTTAATTTTATGGTACTAAAGTTTTATATTATGCTATGTAATAATGCAGTTATTATGTATCATGCAATTATCTTGTAAAAATATTTGTATATGTTTGACTAAATGCTGCAACAGTTTACAAGTATCTAGGGAACTTTCTTAGGTTTCAGGTAATTCCATTCACTCAGCTGCTCAGCTTTATTTGAAATTTGTAAAGTTGGTCATTGAGAAACTTCCTTTCTCAACATTACATTTTTTAATAGCTATATTGAGTCAAATCTGAAGGTAGGAAAATAACTAAGTGATAAGAAGGAAGTTTGAGCATGAAAAGGAGTTATTAAGCATAAACCCTAGAGGAGGAGTGGGATCTTGGAAACTAAGAAAGAGAAATTGTGGGATGTGCCCCAGCAGCTAAGACAGGGAATTATTCAAGAAAACAGAAATTATTCTCATGAGGACTGGGAGAGTTGACTGTTAGCAAGAAGGAATCAAGAAAACACTGGAACACCTAGAATAGAATAGACTATTTCAGCTGGAAGTGATCTACCATGATCATCTAGTCCACCTGCTTGACCAATTGATGGCTGAACAAGTTATAGCATGTTAAGGGCATTGTCCAAAAAGCCTGTTAAGCACTGACAGGCCTGGCACACTAACCATCTCTTTATGAAGGCTGATCCAGTGTTTGACCTCACTGCACAAGACTACTTTGGCCATAATGAAGAGTTGCAGGAGAACATTCACAAAGACAGGCAAACTGAAAGGAAGAAATCTGATAGTGTAAGGACGATACACACTGGGACTATCTGGGTAGACTTGAGGTCCCTGATACCTAAAGACCCATCTTCATTGTGCAATGTGGCTTCTCTGCATCCTTATGCAGGATGTTTGGGCTTATCTTATGTTCAAGTTGGGGCTGGATGCAGCCATGATTTGGCTATGGGGGCGTTCAAGTGTTCAGTGGCTCATCTGCCATGTGATGACCTACACATTGCCAGGAAGTGTTAATGGGAGGCCACAGCCTTCATCACTGCTGAAATAAATCCACCTAACAATTCAATGATTGCTCTTCCAAAAATTTAACTCCAATCAAACTGAGTGTAAGGACAGTAGAGATGCATCTCTCACCAGAAACCATTTCCAATCCTACCACACTCCATGGGAGCAGGAGTGAAATGCTTGTCTTACTTGGAGCACTCCACACAAGCTTAGTCATCTTTCCATCCCCTTCTCATCATGGGAGTGGCTTGGCTGCTAGTTCATCTTTTAATTCATAAAATTCAATTTAACCTCTGTTGCTAAGAAGTCATGTGGTGAATCTGCAGGCATCGCTTCATCCCGCCTTGAGGGATTGTGGATTGCCTGTATTGTGATGCATAGATTTTTATGAATTATTCATTAGTGTACATTAAGTGTGCACACAGTCTGAAAAGCATATTGAGCAAGGAAGTAACGTCTGTGACTGTTGGCTATCTAAAATGTTTGCAATTAAATGTTGAAATGTTTCGTATAATGTGACAATTACTGTATGTAACTAAAAAAAAAATAAATGTCTGTTTCCAGTATATGCTTCTGGTGAAATATGGAGGCAAAAGAATAATATCCTTTCTCCTTGGTGTGTCCAATCCTGAATTCTATCCTATGTCCTTAGCACAGACTAAGAAAGTAGAGAGCAGGTGTAATCAGATCTAAGGTCTGCATTTCCTGGTGCACATGTCAGGAACAGTGTGCCAGCTGTGACTATCTAAAAAAGCTGGATGAACTGCCTATGGAGGAAAAATGGGGAAAACAGTCATAAATTCACTTAGCCTGCCCCCTATTTTCCTGCTGCCTGCCAAGCTTTCAGTAAATTAAACACTTTACAGTGACTGCAGGGTGGAAGCATCATGCTAGCTAGGAAGAAAAAAAAAAAGTTTAGGAGCCATAAGGAACATAACAAATAAATATTTATAGGTGTATTTTCTTATTGGCACATTAATTACATGAAAAATCACATATAATATCTTTGATAGAACTCATACTGGTAGGAGTGGTGTACTGACAGAATCAACGCTGCAGTGCAACTGTTAGTTTCATCATTTTAATTAAAAAAGGAAAAAAAAGCAAAAAAAAACCCTTGTATGGTATGATTACTCCTTCCATTTTGCATGTATATGTATGACAAATAAGAGTGCCTTTAGTAAGAAACTGACACCAGGTAATGACTCAAATGCCAACTGTTTATGCCTTTAGTCTAATGACTGCCAAACCTCTTTAAACTCTAGATTATTGTGTTAATATGTTCTAAGGTATGTCTTCTTTTGCTAGAAATTTGTTTTCTACTATCCTCAAGCTAGAAACTTTTAACAGTGTTCAATTCAGTTTATCATGATCTTAAATTCTTCAGGAGGAATAAATGTTAATATTCAGATACTAACCTTGAATATTTATGTCTAAATTACAGGTTCCATTCTTTCACCTTGCAGGATCAGAGGTGTAGGAATTTATCTTGAGGAAAAAGTGAATTTCTCAGAAGCAAGTAATGCATGTGATCAACTGAATCTACAATTGGCAAGTAGAGATCAGGTTGAAAATGCTCTGAAACATGGCTTTGAAACATGCAGGTATATGACATTTGTTAGTGTCTTGTTACCTTTCGTGAACACCTTTACACACATCTGAGGCTGGAGATAAATCTAATATTTAAAGGACTGGTATTTTCATTGTAGCTATGGATGGGTGAAAGATGGATTGGTTGTCATTCCTCGAATAACATCCAACAAGAAATGTGGCAAGGGCAATGTTGGACTAGTGCGATGGTATGCTGAACCCTTCAAAACATTTATGGTTTACTGCTTCAACTCCTCAGGTATGTGAGCATGACAACTACATTTTTTGTGTTTTGGTTTGGGTTTCATTATTTTTTAGTATCTGTATGAAAAAATCATAACGAGTTCTTACAATCTGTTGGCACTTCCCCCCCCCAGTCTTGAATGTTGCCAAGCTGTACTTAGCTCCGTAGCTTTAAAGAAATACAAAACAGTCACTTCAGTTAATCCCAATTAATAATACGGTGCTGCCATGAAAGCTCCTGAAGAAGAGTTGCTTTTATCATTCTGTAATGTCAAGACAATGCTCTCAGTAAGTTTTGATTATTTACACACATGTATTTGAAGGACAGTAAATCAAGTCTTTATCCAGGGTGTCTGTGTGTGGTGTGTGTTTTCTTGCAAAAAGACCAAGAGTGGGGTACTTCAGGAAAAACTGACTGTTTTATGATTAAAGGAAATTTATCCATTAAACTAAATTAAAATATAAGGTAGAACAGCCAAGAGACCACAGAACTAGATTTCCAATCTATTGTTGGTAAAGTCAAACAGCTTCCTTTAATAAGCATCATCCCATGTGTGAAAAGACCCGTCCTTCCTCCTCATTCTTGACTGTCTATTCCCTGATTGAAGACACAACAATGGAACTTGGGCTTTGATACAAGTGAGATCTTCTCAGCACAACAGATCAGTATTTTGCTTAATGACTTGTGTGGTATTAACTGAAAAGTAGTATTTAACTAGCGGCATTGTGTTCCTGCTGGTGTACCATATCTGTGGTTATTACGTAACAACTATCCCAGTAATTAGACCATATACAAAGGTTCAGTCAATTATTTCTTATCAGTCCCTAGACCTTGTCAATGACTTCTAGATGACAATAGCAAGACATTATGTACAAAATCCTGAAATTTTTCAGGAAAGATATGTGAACAAGAGCTGGAAAGAGCAGGAGAAAGATAGATACACAAGATATACTCATGCAAATATATAAAGATCTAAGTGTCTAGTGACTGTGAACACTGGAGCTTATGAGACTGAGGATAAAGCTTTTAGGGAAAAGGCCATGCCTCCCGCACTGTGACTTTTTTCATGATCCTGGGCCCCTTTTGTGAATGAAGGTAGGTAATATAATTAGTTGGCTTATTAAGTGACTGCTGACAAGAAAGCACTGCAGAGAAAGCACTGTTAAATACTGATTTATCACCCGACCTGTAAAGTTAAAACTTACATGATTAGGCTAACTTAGTTTTTCTCTATAGAAAGTCCACAGCTTTTATTGATAAATGCACAGGTGAATTAGTACTATGGCAACATCCTCTAAAAGAAGCTGCTCCTGTTGTTATTTTTTCTGTTCCTATGCAATATGGTGTTTCAGTGTATTAAATACGTGTCATTCTGCATCAGAAATGTCGGGTAGGGTGGCTAATGCTAAGGAGGTAGCAAGTAATTCCAAATTATTTGCTTTGTTTACTATTACAGTATGTGAGGAAAGTTAAGCTTGCTGAATGGTTAGAAAATAATGTATATTTAACATCAGGTTTATTCTGCACTTTATCTTATTTGCCTAACTGTTGCCTGTTCTAGGCATTTCTTACCAAAAAATATTTGGCAGAAGCTTTTTCTGTCAATTTTTCTTCATGCCAAAGAAATGCCAAAATCACTTGAAAACTATAGTGGAAAAAGTAAAAAGCCATTTAGCTATTTATCCTGTGAATGTAACTGCGTCATCAGGCTTCCCGTGGGGATTCATTTGGAGAAGAGTACATACATCATTTCCCTGTTATTTATGTTGTAATCTGCTTGTTACTTCAGTGAAATTTTTATAGCTTTACAGAATATAGAAAACTTCACATTTTCACATGAGCCTGATTCAGAACTCAGCTTTTTAATTTACATGTAAAAGTCCACTTGCACCCATATTTTTACATAGACAACATCTGCATCATTTAAATGACTGAATTTCAGAATGTGCCTGAAGTTTGTTTCTTTATAGCCCCTATTAGAATTGTGTCACTTTTTTATTGCACGCTGGTGCCTGGTTTACCTGAAAGTTGTATTGGCTACTTTTCTTTCCATTAAATCGTAGTTTTCCAAGTATCAAGAGTGCATGCATATACTTTGAACATACATGTAATACAATAGAAATATTTTTTAATCTTAGATCTGTAGGTAAGGCTCCTGCTCTGCAGGATGTCATCCTGTTGTTTTTATATGCGTTACTATTCTAAGTACTGTTATAAGAAACCTTGTTCTTGGTATACATTTACAAAATGCACACTGCAAATGCTCAGAAAAGCGTTTAAATATATGAGCAATTATAAAAGGTAGGTAATCTGGGTTGTAGCCACGTTTGAAATAGGTGTGCCTGATTTGGGTAAGGCTTTTGTGAATAAACAATAATTTTCAGAAGGGAATGACTGAGGAACAATTTCAATAAACATGTGTACAGTAAGTACAAAACTACCAACCAACACAACTCCTACATATTTCTTTTCCCTGCTGCAGATGTTCAGATTAATTCATGTATACCAGATCCAACTACAACCATTCTACCTTCATCAAGTGCACCAACAGATTTAACTGCATCTTCAGGCTCTGATTTGACTGAGAACATCACAGCAGTGCCCAATGTGACTGAGTCAGAACAAACCCTGAAAAATATAAAATTTCGTGTAATATGCATAACTGAAACTATATTGCCAACTGAAGGGACTACTACAAAAATGCCAGAGGAATACTCACCAATTGATTCTCCTAATTATACTTCCCATGCTGCTTTTAAGAACGATGCTGTTGTCTTTGGAGGTAAAGGCTGTTGATGGTAACTGTTTAATTAGAAGGGCTACTTACGTAGATGTTAGTAGTAAAACTGTTTACTGTTATTTTTGTTTGCTACTCCAGCATCCACAGAATATGAGTGTCAGGGTTTTGCAAAAGCAAAGCTTGTAAGACAGAGGATCTTTAAATAATTTAAAAGTAGAAGTAAGATCTTATCTTAAACTTTTTGTTAATCTTTTAATATGAAATAGTGGAAGCTTATTCTGCTTAATGGGATTTGGGATGAATACATTTCTGAGAAATGGATTAGCAAACACCATGTGCTCAGAGTAATAAGGGAAAACTCAGCAGGCTCTTAAAAAACAGAAGAAGCCAAGAAAGTTTTAAGAACTGCTGTTCTCCAGATATGGAAGTGTTCTTGAGATATGAGCTGTGAATAAGTAATTCTAATATACAACCACTGAGAAATGGACTATGTATGAGAAAAAGCATTATAACTGTAAGGACAGTTAGTCACAAAAATGTGTTCTCTGGGCAAGTTGTAAAAACCCTCCAATGAGCAGGTTAGACAAACATCTGTCAGGGATTACCTAAATATCTGTCAGGGATTATCTAAATACCTGGTTTTAGTCTTTTGAAGAAAATGAGCTGTAGTATAACTAACCTTGTGAGATTCCTAATGCCTCTATTATTGAGTTGATGTTTATGTACTTCTTACTCTAGACTGTTTTTAGAAGAATCTGGATTTGCGCTCATGAGCCTTTAGAAAGTCAGAATTAAGTACATATAAAAACTCTGTGCTTACCCCACTTTTATCTCCAGGTATCCCTACGGCACTTCTTGTACTGGCAGTCATCTTCTTCATTATCTCAGTTGTTCTAGCAGTCTGCTATATCAAAAAGTAAGTACTTTTTTTTCTCTTGGACTGACAACCTAGAGTACAACCAGCAAACATTTTAAATATACAGCTAAAGAGCAGAGAATTAATGGTAATAACAGTTTAGCACAAAGAACAAAATCTTAAACCCTGCTGTTATGCAGATAAAGTTTATTGTTGCTGTTGCCATTCCCTGCCTTAGCAAAGGAACCAAAGACAAATATTGCCTATTTTTGATTAGTAAATCATACCTAGCGTGAAACATTTCCAAGTGTGCCAAATAGTAACACTGAAGTGTCCATCTGTTTGTATACAGGTCTGTTTATGCAGTTTTCTTCTTGTTTCTTTCTATGTCCGACTTGAGGTAGAAGTTTTTATTCTTGGACTATGATCGTGTCCAGTAAAAAAAAAATAGAGCTCATTTATCAAGTGGAAAGATTTTCAACACAGTGCATCACTAAATCGTATCAGAAAGCAGTGTGCATTTCTCACATCCCAGCGCAGATAGCTTTATTGTTACATACCATGAATCCTGAATATACATCGTCTGTTTTTTAAAAAAATACAAAAATATTGCTTTAAAAGCACACTGCTTGAGAAAGCACAATGATCTAGCATCCCACTATTTTCTGTGGGACTTTTGCTTCAGTATGGCAAAGGAAGTTCATTCTAGGTATTTTTCACTTTATTTCTTGAGTGATACTATCAAACTATGCAAGTGTTTCTGCTTTATTATCCTTTTTTTCTACACAAAGGTACAAGAAAACCTTCCCATTTTCAAACAAGAATCAGCAAAAAGAAACAGTTGAAACAACTGCTCTTAAAGAGGCTAAGTCAAATGACAAAGCTGCTGAGAAGGAAACGAAGAATGGTAAAAGTACAGAAGAGTCTAAAACCAAGCCTGAGGCCACAGTACAATGTCTAGAAGCAGAAGTTTAAGTGGAAGAATGTACACTGCTTGACAGAAACACAAAACAAAGTGCACTGAACTTCACAGTGCTTTTCAACATGGGTGATTGTAAATACTCATGAATATTTTCTCTCTGTTAACATATGAAAACCTAGGGTTTTTTTTATAATTACATCTTTATCTATAAATACTGTTGCAGAAGAATATGGAATATTATTTACTTGAAATAAAATATCCATGATGCAGCTCATTTTTCATCTTTAATAAAGAAGTAGTTAGGGATGTGATATTAGTGACATGCAGTGTGTTAACTATTTGCACAGAATTCAGTTCAACATGTAATGAAAAGCGTTATTTTTGTCTGGCTGGAAGATCTCTGCTAACTTAATGTTGATTATCTTATTTCCATTAAGTAGCTGCTTATCTTTTTTAAAAAGTCTGTTTACAAATAGAAGAAATAAGTCTGTTTACAAGTGAGTAAAAATATCAAACAACCCACCGACTGTCATGCAAATACCCAAGGAAGGGTACAAAGATGCCAATGTCTATAGAGCACTGTATAACTTTCTTGGGTATCTTCATCACATCATAATTCAATGTTTTATTTATTAAAACCTGTATCATTCTTCTGCATCAGATATTTGATGGGGGGGAACCTTAACTGTAACTCAACAGTTATATTTAAGATCTTTTATGTAGATTTAAGTGGGGCTTTCATAATAAAGATCTCTGGTGGTATGGGACATTTACAGTACTTCATAAAAAAATGAAGTACAGTAGATACGTTTGTCTGAAAAGTTTATTCTTATTAAAACTGTCTCACAATAAAAAGAGCTCAGATGATAACCTTAATGTTACAGAAATAATTAGTTGTTATAAAAGAACAATACTAGGAATTTTTCAATTTTTTTTGAATAAATGGTTTGGATAATTTATTTCTGTATGTGAAGAAGGTTATTATGGGAAAGAAAGTTTCTTTTTAGATCCAGCAGCCTGAAAAACATAGTCTTAAATAAAATAGTAATAGAACTGCTCACCTATATTGTGTTTTCTATAGTGTAGGATACTGGGTTATGAACTATTTTTTATTCAGAGAAATTTAGAAATTGGCCGGTGGTTATATATTCCACTAGCTACTAGATAGTGAGTTATACTGTATTGCTAATAGCAGAGCTTTCTTTTTTTCTTTTTTTCTTTCTTTTTTTGATAGCTCAGAAATATTTCATGGCTCCAAGACTCTGGCCTGTGTTGATACACAGTCTACCCCTGCCATTAAAGCCATAACACTACAGAAGGACTGAGTCAGTACAGGTCTAAGAGATGCTAATTTCAGATGTCCATCAACAGAATTTCAGCAGGACAATGTGCGACAGAGGAAAGCACTAGATATAGCCTTCCCACACAGTTAAGTAATGCCTCTTCTTGCAAAATACTGCAGTAATGTCATGTATCTCTCGTGGCAACCTGAATGAAAGTGCTGTGTGCCTTATGGGCAGTGAAAGTAGACAGCAGGAATAAGGCCACCACAAAGGGCCACAGCCAACACTTGATATGATGGTGTCCTTAAACAAATGGGCTTAAGGACACAGGCAGCACTACTGGATTCCAGGTAATTTTTGTGACAATTTCCCTTCTGACTCTCTTTTCTATGTTTTAGATATTAGGCATTACCTATTTATTCTTTCTCTCTCCACCAAGAGAAAATTATCTATCACTTCCCTTGATTGATACTGCTAGTATTACCCCTGATCCAGGTAGAATCCAGAAGGTATGAACTTCCTTTTCTCATAGATTGTCTATTCATGCCTAAAGAAATTCAGAAAATTTTTCTCTCGTTCCACTCCAGCTGGAAGGTTGTTGCTTCTATTTTAGATCTAAATAAGGTATTTCCCTCCCCCCCCCCCCATAGTACCTGCTTTCTAAAAAAATCTATGTATGTTAACTAATATAATAGGATATTACCTTAACCTGTAAATGTCTTGTTTTATCACGTACCTTAAAAACTCAGCTAGCTTTCGTCCCAAGCTTCACACTGACACCTGGCCAATACACACAGTTTGATCTCCCCCTCCTTTCTAATACACAATTTATGCCAACACTACAAAGGCTAAAAGTAACCTGTTACACTGTTCTGTAAGTAGTAAAAGGCATCTGTAAGGACTAATCAACCAGTATTGCATTTGATATTCTCTGTATATAATCAGTACTACTCAGTCACATTCGCGTTAGAGTACAAAACGTTCTTGCTTAGCATTTAATAGAATTGCAAGAGATGTACCACTACAAAGCAAACAGGAAATGTTTATTTAAGTCCTAGACAGAAAGTGACAAAACCCCCAAACCATTAACCAGTAGTAGCAGAAAATTTATGAAGGATTTCTCTTAAGTCTCTGACTTCTGTCAAGTGTCGTGCTTTTTATACAAGACGTTCTCAACAGCTATGAAGTTCACTGATGTCTCAGAAATGGCACTGTGCTTAAGTGTCTTGGACAAATAATTCATTCCCCTAGGAGGAGATCACAGTTTGCATTAGTCATTTGACAGTAACACTACCCAGATTCCCACACTGAGGTTACAGATGTTTGCTGACCTTAGGTGAAAGGGCTGGTTGGCCTGCAGGAAATACAGATTGGTTCCCAGTCCAACCCAGTCCCTGTCTGGAATACAGGGCTGCCTTTGTCATGGGAAGTGCATTTGTCTGTGTGTAAACAGATGTGGGCAGGAAGGGGAAGTACTACTCCTTTTCTCCTCTTTAAATTAAAAAAATAACAAAAATCAAAACAACAAACCTCTAGAATTAAACCCTCAAGCATCAGGATATTGCTGACCTAGAGGATGTTCTAGGCTTTCTGTTCTTAAAACAGATTATTATAATTTATGTGTGTTGGCTTATTTTGCCAAAAGGTCAGTGACCACTGACCTTTCCCTCACACATCTAGCTCTCACATCCTTCACGTTGATGGGTGCTCTCTTCCTCACCTATTACAGCAGGGAGTGGTAGTAGTTACAGTAGGAGCAGTTGCTGGCCTGTGGTGATCCCAGCACGGTAGGCACTCAGACCCCAAGAAGTATCATTTAAGCTGCTATTTATTAGAGCTCATAGAAAAGAGTGGATAGCACAGGCAGTCTTACGTCCCTTCAGAAGCTGGGAAAGCTGAGCTGCCCACTAGTGCAAAGCAACCTTCCGAGGGCACAGTATGGCCCGTTTGCAGTTAAGTTACCCCGTGTTGATTATTCAAGCAATTATACAACTAAACAGCTCTGTACAACATCCTTACTGCACAACGGAAAGCATGCTCGGGCGGGCTCTGCTCCGCCCAAACACACCGCGACGGCCGACTCCCATGTGTATAATGCTCTTCCAGCCCGGGTCGCGCCGAGGAAGGCTGGCACGGCCCCGCCAATACCGCCTCACCTCTCCTTTTCCTCTTCCCTTTCTTTTCCCCTTCCCTTTCCTTTCCTTCCCTTTCCCTTTTTTCTTTCCCTCTCTTCTCTCTCCTCCCTCCTTATCTCCTCTCCTCTCCCCCGCCTACAGCTGCCGGAGATCCCTCCGGGGGAAGGGGCCTGCGGGGGGGGGGGGGGGGGGGGAGTCCCTCTTGGGCCCTCGCCCCCACGGCGGCGCCCGCTATGTCCCGGCAACTGCGCGAGCCGCGCGCTGGCGTCACCGACCCGCGCCAGCAGCAGCAGTCGCCGCCGCTGCTGTCCCTTGCGCCTGCGCTCGGAGCCGACGGCCGGGTCGCGGTGGGGCGGCGGCGGCGAGCGGGATGCCGCGGCGCTGGGGTGAGGTTTGCGGGCTGGGCCCTCTTCGTCCGCAGCCACGGAGCCTTGGGGGAAGCGCGAGGCTCGGGCGGGGCGAAGCCGCTGGGTGCTTTTTGTCCTGAGCAAAGCCCGGCCGCCCGCCTCAGCCGGGCCTCGCTGCCGCGTCCGTCGGGGCGCGAAGGGGCGGTTAGGGGTTACCGTAGGAAATGGTTGGGGGTGCCGGCTGCGGGCGTGACGCAGGCGGGCTTGCGCGTGCGGCCCGTCTCGAGCGCGGCCTTTGGATGCGGTTAAACTGACGCGAAGGCAGTGCAGTGCCCTAGGCGTTGGGGGCACTCGGCAGCGCCCCTGTCCTCCTTCCCTGCTTTCGGAGAGGCCTCATAGCGCATCCGGTTTATCTGTGTGTAGCTTTGGGTATTGCCGATCTTGAGGACTGCCCCAAAGGAAGCACTTTGTAAGCAACTTTGCGCAGGTATTTTTGTCCAAACTTTTCTGTGGTAGGATCTCACTAGTTCGGTAGGCTCACACACGGCACTTCGCTTCCACAGGAAGGTGGCTTTTTAGCCACAGAAACCAGAAGATAAGGAATGAACTGTGTTCGAAGCATCAGAGGTTATGCTGCGGAGAGGCTGTGAGTCAAGTGTATCTTTTGGGTGTATGCTCAGCAAACACAAGGCCCAGATAGGGGAGAGGAGGTTATTGGAGGGCTGTTTGGAAGGAGAAGTGTCACTTAAGTGGGAACACAGGTGTCTGAGATCAGAATTTGGTCAAAATTCCAAATTAAATTGGAAGTTTATTCTTTTGTGTAAAATACCAGAACAGTCTGTAGAATGTTCTGATAAAAACTCACTCCATGTGTGCTCTGTTTTTCTTACACCGGGGCAAGATCTTCATAGCTGTAGACTGGGTTGCTGGGCAGTTTGATGCCCAAATGCAGCTATATAGTTGTACATGCAGGATGAAGATCTGTTTTTCTGTAATGTCTCTCTCATAAAGTGTTTGTAAGGTACCTAATGTCAGGTACTCAGATACTGTTTAAGTTAAGGCTGATATTCTGTAATTGGCTTGCTATTGCAGACCTCTGTCTGTATAAGTCTTAAAATGGTGTGAAAGTACTGGTTTGGTTTGCATTACAAACTATGAACTCTGTCCAAACAGAATTAATTTGCATGCCTCTGCCATTTTGAGACAAAGAGCCAGGAGGAATTTTGAAGAAATGCCAAATGAGAGGGCTCAAGGGGAAAATATGGATAAAGACTCAGAATCAGAAGACATACAGTAGATCCTTATGCAGACTTCTTGGGGAAGAAGATACGAGTGTAAGGAAAGGTTAAAATAAGTTAAGTTGGAGAGGTTTGAGCAAGTCAGTTCTGTAATACATCCTGAATTTCAGTGGTTTGTGCAGATAGGGAGGTTTCTAAATTGATTTATACTGATGCCATTCATTGGCTTACCAGTTTAAGAATGCTGTAAGAGTTAGTTTAGTCTGCCAGTGTCAGTCTGATGTAAGAAAGCTAATTCCTGGTTTAATATCTGTGTATAAACATTGATATGCTTATTTACAGACGTTCTGACTTTCGCATCACAAATATTTAGGACAAACAAAAATTGTCACAAATTATCACTGTAATCTTAAAATTTTATTTTCCATTCCACTAGATTTACATATCTGTATGTGTGTTGGAGCTCCTGAAGAACCTGCATGAAAATTTATCTCACTTTAATATAAGTATTGCTGTAATCAAAATAGTACTTTTTTGTAAGCTGTTAATGCCACATTCCAGTCTCTTCTAAATGTTGTGCTTTGACTGTTCAAGTTGTGTTACTGTAGAATAATTAGACTGTGTAATGGGTAGTTAAATTCTTACACTAAAAGAAAATGAGAGAGTAACCATTTGTAAAGCACACAATTGTAACTCTAAAATATTTTTAGCAGAGACTCTACAAGTGAATGAGAACTTCGTTCTATGGAACTGAGGTGAAGAACTTCAACCATGGGTCAACAAATTTCAAACCACACACAAACTGTAATTAACAAGTTGCCAGAAAAAGTAGCAAAGCATGCCTCTTTGGTTCAAGAAAGTGGTTTCCTAACCTATGAAGAGTTTCTGGGAAGAGTAGCTGAACTTAATGATGTGTAAGCCCTACTTTGTTTTCTTGGTGTTTTTAGCGTTTTACAGAGACCCTGTATGCAATATATCCCTCTGTGCTGGCCAAGTCAGGACTGGCCATCTTGTTTTGAAATGCCTCCTGCAGCTTTTAAAGTTTCTGTACTGGTTGTAATTAGACTTCAAAATGAAAGCCATTTTTCCTCCAGAAATTTACTTTTTCTCCAATACTCTTCTTCCAGCAAGTGTTGCTTCTCTCTTAGTTAGCAAGAGGTAGACATTTAGCAGTATCTTTTTGTTAGTGTTACTTGTCTCCCTTAATCTTCCCCCTCCACCAGCCATGTAAAGATGGAATGCTGCTTCCTCTCTGCCCATCACTTTTCATAGGAAGTAGCAATATGAGCCTTATAAAGACAGTACAGCTACACTAGGAAGGTAAACCTGAGACAGAACAATTTGTGACCATCTTTTTCACCTCTGTGGACAGGCAGTGCTGTTCCTCGTTAAAGATGTGGCACGTCTTACTATTTGAATCCAGTAACCAAGAACATAGGATCATAAAATCACAGAATGATTAAGGTTGGAAAGGACCTTAAGATCATCAAGTTCCAACCCCCAATGCCATAGGCAGGGACACCTCACACTAAATCATATCACCCAAGGCTTTGTCCAACCTGGTCTTGAACACTGCCAGGGACGGAGCATTCACAGCCTCCCTGGGCAAACTATTCCAGTGCCTCACCACCCTAACAGGAAAGAATTTCCTCCCTTATATCCAGTCTAAACTTCCCCTGTTTATGTTTTAACCCGTTACCCCTTGTCCTGTCACTACAGTCCCTAATGAAGAGTCCCTCCCCAGCATCCCTATAGGCCCCCTTCAGATACTGGAAGGCTGCTGTGAGGTCTCCATGCAGCCTTCTCCAGGGTGAACAGCCCCAACTTTCTCAGCCTGTCTTCATACGGGAGCTGCTCCAGTCCCCTGATCATCCTCCTGGCCCTCCTCTGGACTTGTTCCAACAGTTCCATGTCCTTTTTATGTTGAGGACACCAGAACTGCACACAATACTCCAGGTGAGGTCTCACAAGAGCAGAGTAGAGGGGCAGGATCACCTCCTTCGACCTGCTGGTCACACTCCTTTTGATGCAGCCCAGGATACGGTTGGCTTTCTGGGCTGCAAGTGCACACTGAAGCTGGCTCATGTTCATTTTCTCACCAGCCAACACCCCCAAGTCTTTCTCCACAGAGCTGCTCTGAATCTCTTCTCTGCCCAGCCTGTAGCTGTGCCTGTGATTGCTCCAACCCAGGTGTAGAACCTTGCACTTGGCATGGTTAAACTTCATAAGGTTAGCATCAGCCCACCTCACAAGCGTGTCAAGGTCCCTCTGGATGGCATTCCTTCCCTCCAGCATATCAACAGAACCACACAGCTTGGTGTCATCGGCAAACTTGCTGAGGGCGCACTCAATCCCACTGTCCATGTCAGCGACAGAGATGTTGAACAAGACCGGTCCCAACACCGATCCCTGAGGGACACTACTCGTTACTGGTCTCCAGCCGGACATTGAGCCGTTGACCACAACTGTTTGTGTGCAGCCATCCAGCCAGTTCTTTATCCACTGAGTGGTCCATCCATCAAATTGATGTCGCTCCAATTTAGAGACAAGGATGTCATGTGGGACAGTGTCGAACTCTTTGCACAAGTCCAGGTAGATGACATCAGCTGCTCTACCCCTGTCCCTCAGTTCTGTAGCCCCATCATAGAAGGCCACCAAATTGTTCAGGCAGGATTTCCCCTTAGTGAAGCCATGCTGGCTGTCACCAAGCACCTTGTTGATTTTCATGTGCCTTAGCATGCCTTCCAGGAGAATCTGCTCCAAGATTTTGCCAGGCACAGAGGTGAGACTGACTGGTCTGTAATTCCCTGGCTCATCCATTTTCCCCTTCTTGAAAATGGGGGTTATATTTCCCTTTTTCAGTCCTCGGGAACTTCACCTGACTGCCATGATTTCTCAAATATGATGGACAGTGTCTTAGCAACTTCATTCGCCAGCTCCTTCACGACCCACGGATGGATCTCATCAGGACCCATGGACTTGTGCACGTTCAGATTTTTAAGATGGTCTTGAGCCAGATCCTCTCCTACAGTGGGCCCAAGGTCTTCATTCTCACAGTCCCTGCATCTGCCTTCCAAGACTTGGGTGGTGCAGTCATAGCCTTTGCCAGTGAAGACCGAGGCAAAGAAGTCATTCAGAACCTCACCTTTCTCCAAATCCTGTGTAGCCAGTTCTCCCAAGAGCTTCCTGAGGGGGCCTACATTCTCCCTAGTCTGTTTTTTATTTGCTTTGTGCCTGTAGAATCCCTTCCTGTTATCCTTAATATCCCCAGCCAAGTTTAATTCTAACTGGGCCTTAGCTTTCCTAACCTGGTCCCTAGCTTCCCAGACAGCATCCTTGTACTCTTCCCAGGCAGCCTGTCCTTGCTTCCACTTTTTATAAGCCCCTTTTTTCGATTGAATTTCCTCAGGAGCTCCTTATCCATCCAAGGAGGTCTCCTGGCCCTCCTGCTGCACTTCCTTCTAGTTGGGA